TTTTTTCATATTATTTCTGAATTCTGATTTCACCTCATGAGCTGTAACAAAATCAAATGTCAACGATTTATCTAAAAGATTTGTATTCGAACATGTGTCCCGGCTATACGAAAAATCAAGATGTATAATTCTTGTTTAAAGCATTATTTAATATTTCATGCATCTTGAAGAAATTAGTTTTCAACTAAAATAGGGAACATGGTAAACAAAATGGTATGGCATATTATGCTGTATAATATAGACAAATATAATATAAAATTATATTAATGCGATTGGTGATGATTAGTTATTATAGCCAAAATATATCAATATTTTGTGTATCACACTGATCAACTTACTAATGAGAAAATACTTTTGAAAACTGATTTAAATTCGTTATTATGTCTACTCAGAACGATCAAAAACTATCCGCCGCTAACCCCTTTAAATGATAAAATATTAAAATCTGATATATTTGGCGCACTCTATGTGACAAAATGCACACGACTGTTGGGTATAAAGAATAAACAAACCGTTAATATTGGCCAGACAGATAGAATTTCGAATTCAAATAGCTATCATAATTTGCATTAATATTTTAATGTATAGACTACTATGTAATTCATAATTATGAGTTTGTCAGTTAGTCTTTGATAACTCGTAGTTACACGTCCATGTTGACGCAACTAGAATAATTCGGAAAAATATTGCAGCTATAATGGTACATTATACTGTTGCGTAACCACAGCGAGCATGACAAGTTGGAATGGTCAATGGTTGAACGACTTAAGTCGTAAGAAAAAGATTAATTGTTCACAAATGTCTGAAAAACATTTGAGATAAAAATGACATCCTGTATTCTTGAAATGAGGTATAATAACAAAACAGGCAACAATGATTGGACTTTGCCACTAAGAGTCACATAATGTTTCTGTCACTGCGCCACGCCGCCTACCTACTATATTTTCTATTTCATCACCATTATTCGATCATGTCGATTGTGTGTGATATGTGAATACTCATGTTGTATGCTGTATTATGAGCTATGATCAAAAACTCTACAAAAACACACATGTTGATTATTGAACCTTATATTGGATATTAAAACATAGATATTATCATGTATGAATCATTATGAAAATAACTGGCAACTGCGTATCATTTATTACGTTCATCGTATATTATTTGATACGTTTATTTATTAATATAAATTGGTTTTTATTAAGTCAATCACATATATAATTATATTATATAAAACACATTGAACGCATCTGGTCCAGACTCCTGAACATCTTGAACCGTTATCATTATTCCTAAACGTGTGGTAATTTTAAAGGTTATGTACACATTTGAACCAGATAAACTTGTAATTTATTATTTGAAATATAAAGTTTTTATAAAGGTAATATATGATACTTTTTATAATCTACTAATATTGTGTACCTATTATTATATTGCGAGTTTAAGACTTGTGATGACATAACATGAAAACAACGTAGGGTGACAACTCTGCCTAGTTTTTATTTTCGTATTTTTCGAAGCCCTACATATATTATTATAAATAGTGAATATTGACAAAAGATATGATTATTTATTATACGTAATAGTGTAAAAAAATATAAATAAAGGTTTAATCTAAGGTTGATTAGTTATGTAATAGCAATGAGCCAACATGTTAAAAAATAAATTGTAATCAATAGGCAGACATTTCATATAATTCGCATGATAATTCGGGCAAATATAACTCTATTCAAATCGATGTAAACCAAATTACTTATATTAATTGTGTTTGGACAGGCGACGAATCCGAAGGTTATAATGTTTAACGTATTATTACGATGAACAAAAATAAATGATTACATTCATAATATAGGTGATATAGTACTGTTAAATGTTAATAGTATTTAGCGAAATAACAATAGCACACGAATCAGATTTTTATCGATTGCAATGAGATGGAATGATAAACACTCGACAATTCTAAAATAAAGCCATAAAAAGACAATTTAAACTCCTTTTATATCAAATTCTTACATTCGTTTATAAAAAAAGGTTTAAAAATATAACGACGAGTTACTCCCTCTCGACAGTATGATATACATAATAAAATCAAAAACTAACGCCTACGAACTAGAGAAGAAAAAATAACCAAACGGTTTTTTTTTCGCTCGCTAACTGGAGGAGCGCGTCACCGCGGCTTCAATTACTTACGAGCGCGCGCGCGCGCGTTACAACGAGTACTTACGTTTCTCCCTCTTGGAACCCATCGTGACTTTATTTTCAAAAAATGATTAATATCTCAATGGAAAACACGCTCGGACTTAACGAACGACGGATATTAACGTTTTACGAAATAAAAAAAAACTGTTACAATCGCAGTTTTCGCCGTGAAGTCGCCGCTCTAGTGTTGGCGACACATATCCGGGAGCGCACAAATCGTTTTTGCGTACCTACGACGACGACGAATCTATTTTTACGGCTCGCGATCTAATTATACCGTTAAGCTAGAAAACGAGCGGTTTTTTTTTATCACGAAGACCGGGCACTGCACGTAATAGACGGACGACGACGACTGTTGCAGTAGTTGGCCGAAACAATGAATGACGACGGCAGCGGTTGCGACTACGACGACGGCGGCAGAAAACGAACGGTCGAACGAACACGAGGAATAATGACGATGACTGAATCAGTGATGACGATAATAATAATAATAACACAGAAACTCACTGCGCTATAATATTATTGAGGTTTGCGGCGCAATAAAAACCAACGGCGGAGAGCAGACTTGCCTGCACTCTGAGTACTACGATAATAATAATAATAATACGGCGTTATTGGCGGCAAACGCGATCAATAGGACAAGGGAGCCCACCGCAGGATACGGCGCCGAGGGTGGTGCGGCGGGAGGAGGTGAAAAAAAGAAAAAACCAGCTGACTACCCGTCGACAAAATATCTGGCCGGCGCGATGGCGCGGTAGATGAGTGAGGGGGAAGTGGGCACCGCCGACAATAGAAGCAGCTGCAGCTCGAGTATAGTCGTGTGGCCTATAATACCCCAATGATGGTCTGTGCTGCTGCTGCTGCTCGCTGCCATGATAATATATTATTATTATTCCAATAGACGAACGTGTCACGTAAATTTTACTGTAATATAACTAATATTCCATTATGCACTTAGCGTGACCGTACACTCGACACGGTTACCGCGCATCGGTTCGCAGTAATGACAAGGTTACCTGCGAGTTTTCATGTCAATCGAAAGCCTAGCCTAACCTAACCTCCTGACTGCGCTACAGCGGAAACTTCAATTGGTTAAGCGAATATTTGAGATGTAGATAATAATATGTAATTCGGCATTACACATTTCAATATTCTGATTTCTAGTGAATTCGTGCCATTTTTAAACAACCCTCAAAACTCGTTTAATCTCGGGGAACGAAAATTTGGAGGACCACACCAAGACAAGCACATTCACAAAAAAGGGAAATCGTACTTTCCAGTATTTCCTGGTAAGGGAAATTTGGGTACCAAACTTGTACGATAATGGTTTTAATAGTTCGATAACAAATTTAAATTTGTGTATTACGATTGCTTGGGGAAAAATAATAAAATAGTACACTATGAAATGTATAAATTGATAAACAGCCAAAATTAACAAATTCTTGGAAGCTGTTTTGAAATCGAGTTCCACATAATTACATAATATACAGAAAACGATTTTAAAATAACCAAACTTAAGATGAAAAAAAATGAATGGAAAAATAACATAACAATTAAAACTCATATTTCTGAAATGTAATATACTATGCGCGATGAACCACTACTATATTTTGAATAATATATCATTATAAATATTAGATTGGGTTTATTAGGACTGAGGGACGCCAGGTGGTGCAGAATGCACTATCCAAATTTTTTTATTTCATTACAAAGAAAATAATTCAATTTTACAGAATTTTTTAATTGATATAACTACTAATAATAGTCTTCAAAATGTTCAATGACTTCAAATTAAGAATAATTTGGCAGTCATGTAACGACAAAAAAACAATTATTAGGTACATAATTAAATTAATCGTGTTTAAAAAACGAATTAAACGTTCGAATTACTGAATGCAAGTTAAAAAACCGACTCCATTAATATGTCACAATTAAATACAATTTAAAATAAGTTCTAGAAATTATCATACTTAAATGATTTATATTACATGATTTCTGATTAAATGTAGTTCATTCTTATAATTATTATTCTATATTTTCTTTATTACCAAATGAATTTCCCATATTATTTTAGCATAGATTTATCCTAACGATATTTGCACCAATATATTTAACTTTTAGTCAGTGGGCGTCTCTGGGGTTTATGTCAGGCACGTATACAGGGAGGGGGAGGTTTTCAAACACCCTCGAAATTTAATAGTTGTGTAATTTATTGATATCAATCATCCATAACTACAATAACTAGTCAGTGACAATTTGTTTATGACCCCCCTCCCCGAATTTTTTTTTGTGTCCGTGCCTGGTTTATGTAGTTTCATTTTAAACCGATCCGGTTTAATTTTCTTAAAAGGATAATTTACAATCTATAACCTTCTTAAGATTTTATTTGTTTAAGTTTTTAAAATAATAATTTAAATTGTACAATACATTTTATAGTGTTGTAAAAAAAACATGCAATTACATGAAAAGTTAGGTTGACCAGTGTGGAAATCATCAGACTTTGAATAGAATTTTCTTACATGTTTTCATTTAGAAGTTCTAACTCAAGAGATCCCAAATTGTATCCATAGCATTACTACATTGCTTTACGCTTATCATTAAAGTTAATTATAGCTTTAAATAAATAGTACGAATACTGGATTAAATTTGGATAGGAAGTTAATAACACTTATAAAGTCTCGGAAATAAGTAATAACTATAGGAAATATTAATATAACTAACCAGATGCATAGTACTGTTGATTAAGACTTGTGTACAATTTACAATAAATAAGATAAATTTATATTAATAATAAAACATACCTTTCGGTGGCAATTTCTCAGGATTAAACCATTTATCTGAAAAAAAAAATCAGTTTTAAATAACAAGATCTTAATATTGTTTTCATACATTTAGAAATTCTACTGGACATTTTCTAGAATTAACTTTTGTGCTAACACGTGTTTAGTAACAACGGCAAGTATTCTCATAACTAGAATAGGCAATACAGCTAGCATACCGTATACAATTACAAGTAAACAAGTTATTTGATCCAATTTATGATATCTATACTGGGCACTGGCTGTACAAATTATTTTTTTTCGTGACCTACCTTCTATTGTAGTATTACAAATTACATATTACATAACATATTGATGAACATCCATACAACATTAATGAGTGAAATTCTAAAATTAGTTTTATTTATTTCAAAAATAACTTAAATATTCAATAAAATAATTTAAGTACATAAATTATCACTCACTAGGCCAAATCATTATACTCAGAAAGTTGTTTACGGGTACTGAAACGTCCATATTATCTTCGTTTTCTGGGTGATAATTCATAATTTTAACAATAAAAATCTATCAATTATAAATTTAGTCACACACTTTATGTACAGAAAACCAAAAGTATAGATTATTAAAAGATTAACTTAATATAAATAATAGTACTAGTTATGGTTTATAATTATTTAAGTCAAATGTTCATAGTCAGAACAGAGTTCATTGAAAACTAATTTTTAAACAGTAAACATCAGCATACTTCATGCAAGCGACAATGAACAGTGAATAACGATCTCATTGCAGTTTGCACGCGTTCGTAACTCGCAAGATAGGACCGGTCACACAATCACACAGGTAATTATCCAATGGATAATAATATTAAACATTCGCGTTGAGCAAGATAATTATTATTAGCTATTACAAAACCGATAATATTCTCCCACATTGGAAGTTCATGGATAAAAATAAATAAAAATGTAAACAGAAAATTAAAGGACGGACGTTACACTGATAACCGCATGATGTATTGTTTCCGACGTTTCAGTGCACGACAACAAATTACATTTTCAAAATACTAAATAGCATAATATGAATAAAATAATCAAATATAATATAATACTATATTACAACCTATCTAGTTTACTCTGAACAAAGAAGTGAATTAAGCAATATTGAGCTATGAACAATTAACGAATTTAAAAGTAAGAATATTGTCCAGAAGACTTCGTAGGCTCATTTTGAAAACTTTTTTTATTTGAAAGCATTTTAAAATTGTGGGTACATTTTGGATTCTGAGCTAAATGATGAATGTAATTATTTTACAATGTGTTTTTTTCGTGTACAAGAAATCAAAATAACACTTCGATTTTTAAACTTCAGTGTCCTAAAGCTGAGAGAGTGAATCTAGTTGGTGCATTTAAGAGGTCAAAATTTATAATTTCCAGTGGTTTTCAGAATCATCGGTGAACAAAAATTGGAAAACAGGAATTGTTGTGCAAAAAAATGGTGTAATCTACTATAAATTTTCACTGAACGCTCATTTTAACATTTTTTATACACTAACATTTTGACTCTAGTTGAGCTATTGATAGACATTGAAGTTTTGAATTTTTTTTGCTAAAAATTAATGTCTCTACAATTTTTTTCATTCGGTCAAAAAACTTGAAACTTGAAATTTTTCGACTATATTTTTTAAAATATTTACTTTAATATTTATTTTATAAAATAACTACCAATGACCTTTTGAAATACAATTTTTGTTTCAAAAATGAATTTATCCTACTGTTTTATTTATGCCTAATAGCATTGATTATAGAATAGTCTATTCTATAATCAATGCTAATAGTAAAATAAATTACTTTAATCACAATTAAATAATAAAATATATTTCTTAGTAGTATTATAGGCTGACAGAGTCATCGCCCAGAATTGTTTCTGCATACAATGATTACAGTAACTTCTCTAGATAGCTAATATACAGCAGATTGGTACCCAATTGAACACTTTTTTTTTGTTAAAGTGACTTAGATTTCATTGTTGAAATATGTTTATTATTCTATAATAGTATATGGTTCAATATTATTGAACCATATACTATTTTCTATAATAGTATATGGTTCTATTATTGCATTAAATAGAAGGATCGTGGATCTAGAGTAAAATAGTAATACATTGTAATAGAGTGAATCAAACTAGGTACTAATATAAATATTAATTATGTATTCTCACAATCCATTTAAACTTAAAATTTAATACTAAAAAAATTAATGTATATTATGTATGTACATATTTAGTACATTTAAACAATATTAATGAATAAGTATAATATGCATAAATATATATTAATATTAATGTTATAGTTATCTTGATATAGAAACTAAAAAAATGATCATAATAAATAAATAGATTATTACTGAATTAGTAATACACTAATGACTAATAGGTACTTACTGATACATAAAACATTAGATGTCAAACATTATTAATGATATTATACAACCATTTGAATATTCAAAATATTAATTAATGGTAACATTATTCTACGGCTCTATACTATACAATACCTATGCTTAATATATTTGTTGTCTAGTGTCTATTGGTCTTTTGTATTTTAGTTATTGACTCGTCCACGTTTAATAAATTATATGTGTTCGGTATAAGTGACTTAGTTTGGAAAATCGTATTTTTTATCTTAAGCAGTTATAAAAATAAAAATGTTCATAATTTAGTAAGTAATTCAATAATATATTTATATTTGAGTTAAAATGTATTTAATAAAAAAAATAACTTAATGATAAGTTATGTACTTCACTAATAAAATTATTTAGTGATTACTGATCAGAAAATTTCATAAAATGTAATGTTTTTTTTTACCTAATTGTAGTAATCTTACCATTTTTTATTTTTATTATACAATCTAACCTAACCTTCATTAAAGAATAAATACCTAAATACTGGTTTAATATCATATTTATTGACAATTTAGAATAACAACTAAAATATTATACAATGTAGATAGGAGATGTTATTCTGAAATTGATTAACTACATGTTATAAGATAATACATGCTATGAAGTCCTAGATCAAAACTCCATTGTTCATATCTAAAAATTTGAAAAGTAAATAAATTGAAGAGTAGGTTAAGAGACTTAACAAAAATAGATTTCTTAATCCCAAATTATTTAATCCTCACCAATAGTTATGGCAAAAATGTTCCATATTTAATATGAGAAAAACCAAAATGAATTAAGTTTTTGAAAATATTACGTTTAAATGTGTATTAAAATATAAATGGTACAACATTAATATGCTTTTACTCTTATAACGAACTGCAATAAGAATAGTGTTAATGTGTTAGTAATATACAAATTATAATAAATTCCCGTGTCATTTGAGGGGCATTATGATTTATGACTCAATGACTCATTATAATAGAATAGAGATCAAAAGATCATAGGTTATAAGGTCAGCATTGAAATATTTTACAAAATTCAAGTTAATGTTTCCAGTTGACAATCATAATATTTTTAATAAAAGCAAGAATTTCAAATATATAGTTACCAGATTACCTCTTGTATCAATAATATATTATAATTTATCAACTGGAATTTTAGTTTTAAGAATCTTTTGGTAAATGAAAAGTTATATAATAAAAATGAAATTTATAAATTGTTTAAAAATTAATTTTTTCTATTATTATGGTAATCTAACCTATGTTTGATCAATTATAATAATCACATTAAATTATTGTTCATATAAAATGTTGCTATACCCAAGTATTTGCACAACTTCACTTTATCAAAATCAAATTTTAAGCTTATCTAATAAAAAATCAGTTTTAGCCAAGTATAAAAGTATAAAAATTAGGTATTTAATCATAGGGGGGAAAAAGTAAAAGGCCGAGGTACCTACCTCTATACTAGCAATACCAATACAAGTTATTTTATCATTAAAATATAAAGCCCAAACCAACTAAACTACTATCAATGACCATTTAAATACAAATTGTTTCATCTTACCTAATCCAATTCTACAAAATAGTTCATCAGGTCCAATCTTTATGTCACATGCATCTCCTTCATCAGTATCTTTCTTAGTGGACACTTTAGGGATAACTTCTGGAGTCTCAGGAATTTTGACTTTGGATTGTACAGTGTTCACCGGTTCATTTTCTTGAATTATCACTGTTTTTATAGTATCTGTAATCAGAGATTCTAGTTTTTCAGAAGAGACTGGATCTTCTACTTTTGGAGATTCTATTTTTGGGAGTGTTGTAGGATCCTCGATTTTTGTTAAAGATACTGGATCATTTTCAAATAAGTTATCTTTTTCTTCATCAGATATATTGCTATCTTCAGCTTCTTCCTGCACATCATGAATTGTTTTGGATTCCTGATCAATCACCTCAAAGGTATTTTCAAGCAAAGCTGTTTTTTCAGTATTGACCACTTTCTCTGGCACAATGATTAGGTCATCATCAATAGCATTTTCATACTTGTGTTTTAAGCCTTCTGACAAAGCTCCATCGTCAGGGTCTGAAAAAATAGTTTTTTGGTCGTTTTCTGTTAAATTGGTTTCTAAATCCAATAGTTTCTGATTTTCCATCGTATAATTGTGGTCAGATAAATTGTGCACAGTTAAAGCCGGTATTTAAATAATAGGATAGTGTGCAGTCTTTAGGAAAATTGTTGATAAATCTACAAAGGAACTATAAATTAATACTGAGTACTTGATTTTTGGTATAAGTTGCCAGCGAAAAATGATGATCACAGTTTTCAAGAATAAGAGTAAAAGACTAGACAAATTGCGTAAAATTTGGTATATAAATTATAAAATATCAAGAACTAGGATTAATCCCTACGTTCACGCGACATACCAGCTGATATGATAACTGAGCAGTGGACAATCAATAAGCAGTTTGAAGCCCTCGTCGAAGACTGTAATGCAGGATTACAACTTACTGTCAACCAATCTTTCACCACAGAACAAACAAGACAATTTTACGTTAATGATACATTTTCAGTATGGAAATTATGACTAGACAGTCTACTCGGTGATTTAATAATGGTGACTTATTACTAATTTTTATATGTTCAACTACATCAATTGTCCATAAACAATAAAGATCTTTTTGTTCATTAATTATATTTACACGCTTTTTCGTATACAGCTAACCTGTATAAAATGAGTCGTTATTATTTGAATTTGATAATAATGTTATCACAGTCCTTAAAATTGATAATCACCTTGTAACTTGTCAACATTATAACTGTACAAATTAAATAATAAAATGTCCTGAGAGCTGAGACATGAGGTACGAGAGACTCAGACATGATACATGTACCCCGAACTACGAACCTATTCATGACAAAATAATATATTTTACCTTGTGAACTATTGACTATTGTTCATATAATCATACATTCATACTTCATTTTGGTTTGTGTAATAAATTTAAAAAATGACAATTAAACATATAAACCATATATTAAGACAAGATTCAATGTAAAAGTATGGACACTTCATACAAAAATAATTTGAGGTTGTTAGGTTACGAATCTAGTTGACAAGCGTATGGTTAGTATGCTAGTAAAGAAGAATCTAGTGTTAATTAACTGTAGTTTATATTAAATTATATTTAGTTTTTAACTTTTTTTTTTTAGTTAAATTTCAAAAATTATCAAATATAAGTTAACAAACTTGACCCAATTAATTCAAAAACTTCAAAATAAAGAAGTGTGCTCTCAGTATTAAAATATAATGGAGTCAGTGCTCAATAAATCATACCTAGATCATCCGAAGTTAAAAGGATCTCTAGAAAAGGTAATACATGTCTTTGCTATGTTTATTTATAGTTTTAAAATGAAATAAATTAGGAAAGCAGTACTTACAAGTTACAAGAAAAAATAAATTGTAAAAACAGTTCACATAATATTTTGGTTTGTAAGCAAATATTAATTAATTAATCTTATGTTTTTGAAAAAATTATAATTTATTTTTATTTTAACTAGTATAATGTCTTTATTTCAGAAAATAACTCATGATATTATTCATATGGAAGAATCATATGAAAAAATGCCATTATATACCTCAGTTATGGCATGTTTGGGATTTTATTTTTTGATTTTCATAGGACTGATCAATCATATAATTTTCACTCCCAAAGTAGCTACTGAAAAAAATCGCAAAGTATAACATAAATTTATTTATATATTTTAAGGTAATTAATATTCATTAATAAATTTAGGGATACCCACCATTATACAATAAATTTGATAGCATATTTTTGAGATATGTATTTCGGCGAGTTAAAGACTGTTTTAATCGAGTAGTTTGTGGTGTCCCAGGTGCAAAGATTGATATCATTGATAGAGTAACTCATGACAGTTGTTGGTCATTTGAGTAAGAACATTTTATTATTATTTATTACTACTATGGTTTAAATAAGTAATACAAATTTAAACATATTTCAGGCCTTTGGACACAAAATCTACTTTTCTAAATTTAGGTTCATATAATTACTTAGGTTTTGCTCAAAGTGAAGGTCCATGTGCAGATGATACCAAAGACATAATAAAGAAATACGGTTGGGCAGTCAGTAGTTCACGTCAAGAACTTGGAACCAACGATCTTCATTTAGAGCTCGAACAACTAACAGCTGCATTCTTAGGTGTTGATGATGCTATAGTATTTGGTATGGGATTTGCCACTAATGCTCTGAATTTACCATCCATCATAAATTCTGAATGCCTAGTACTAAGTGATGAATATAATCATGCATCTGTTATTTTGGGGATACGACTATCAGGAGCCACATCTGTAGTATATAAGCATAATGGTATTTTTATTAAATATTTATAAAACAAAAAATTTAAATATCAAAATATTTTGTTTAGTACATAAGATGAAAAATTATCAAATTTTGATTTGGTTTCTATTTGAGCCCAACTTCAAACAGTTCCAAGTTGAAAAAAAACTATACTATATGGCAAAATCTTTATACATTTCAAGAATTATTCTTTATTGAAATCTTCTTAAAAGCTATTTATGGTTAATAACCATATTATAAATTATAATTAATGTTTTGATTTTAATTTTTTTTAGACGTTATACATTTAGAAGAATTAATACGACAAAATATTATTTCCGGTCAACCGAAAACTCAAAAACCTTGGGAAAAAATGTTTATTGTAACTGAAGGCATTTTTAGCATGGAAGGATCAATAACAAACCTTCCAGATCTAATTGCCATTAAAAAAAAATACAAAGTATTTATCAATTATCTTGATTATTATTAAACATATTATAATAAAATTGTTATTTGCAACTAGAAGAATTTACTATTAGAAGAAATAAAACATTTTAGGTGTATTTATATGTTGACGAGGCTCATAGTATTGGAGCCTTAGGACCAAATGGCCGAGGTATATTCGATTATTTTAATTGCTGTCCAAAAGATGTTGATATATTAATGGGCACATTTAGTAAATCATTTGGTTCAGCAGGAGGATATATTGCTGGCAGTAAAGTATGCATAAAATATAATTTTGATTAACATGTATAACTATGTTTCATGTTCTAATTAACATTTAATTACTGTCCTGTTGATTGTTAAAGGATTTAATTGACTATTTGAGAGTAAATAGTCATGCTTCATGTTATGCCACGTCTATGGCACCACCTGTAGCTCAAGTAATCATAACATCTATGTCGATGATAATGGGTAGAAAACATGGAGAAGAGGGTAGAAAACGAATTATCCAACTAGCAAGTAATGTCAAATATTTCCGAAGGAAACTTAAGGCTTTAGGTTGTGTAGTATACGGAAATGACAACTCTCCTGTTATTCCTATGCTGGTTTATATGATATCTAAAGTTGGGTAAGTATTATATATACTGTAATTTTTGATAAAATATTGATATTTTTCATAAATAACTGTCCTTATTCTTATTTATTTCAGAGCAACAGTTAGAGAGTTCAATAAATTTAATATAGCTACAGTTGGTGTTGGTTTTCCAGCTACTCCATTACTTGAAGGAAGAATTCGTTTTTGTATGTCAGCTGCTTTGTCAAAGGAACAACTTGATGAAGTAATTATATTATGTGTGATATATTTTATGGATACTTTAAAACTAAGGGACAAATTTTTATACAGTTGCATATTTTTTCATAGTTAGTAAATTTTGTAGACTTAGATAGAAATTAATTTAATCAACTTTAAAGAGCGTAGTAAAATTGATGTTGCATATTTTGCTCGAATATTTATATTGATGAATTCTTCTTCAGAGTATATTACTGTTATATTAGTATTTTTGGAATCTTTTTGAAATCTTGAAGTTCAAATGATACCTCTATTCTAATTTTTTTTTATCAATAATTGTCTAGGTACATATTTTCTTTCTTTTTTTCTTTAATTCCTAAAAATATATTTTAAAAAAATGTTTATTTATATCATTAGAAATTGCAAATTAATAATTTAATTTAAAACAGAATACAATTTATAATATTAGTTATAAATACAAAACATATATACTAATCAAAATACTTTATTAGTACTGTAAAAAGTGTGTAAAAAAAAGGTACTTCAAATAATATTAATAACTTGTATAATTTAATATAATATGTATTATATATTAATTATTAAAATATACTTATTTATACTTGTAGGTTCTGGTTGCCACAGAAAAAATAATGAAAAAACTGGGTTTGTGTTATTCTAGAAAACCTATTTCTAATGAAGAAATTCTTTATGAGAACCCATATTAATTTAAATATAAGTTTTTATTTTTGTTTCCTAAAGTTAACTAAATTTCTATTGTGTACATTTAATTTTTGAATGTTCACATTTAATAAGATTCATTAATAAACTATTAGAATACTCAGAGAACATATGTAACCATGATTTAGCATGAATAGCATGTAATATTCTATATCATTGGTATCTAATGCTTATTAACATTTACAATGTTTGTTTAACTTCAAGGCAGAATTAATAAAAAATAATTTGTATTCTCATTTAAAATTTACAAAAAATTTAATATTTAAATCAATCATGTTCTAAGAAACTTATGATAACACTCAGCAATAATTCTATTAATTATTTTGATGAAAACCTTTTTGTTCATGATAATTTTTTACAAGACATAAATAAATTATTACTTATAATATTAGAAGCCCTATGTCACTATAATAACAAATTATAATGATACATTAAAACTATTTAAGTATAAAAATTGGACCATTTATAAATTTATTTATTCAGTAGTTTTTTAAATTATCTGTAAATTATTGATGTATTAAAAGTATAATTATTGATATAGTAATTTATAATTTAACGTATTTAATAAAACTATAAAATATAAATATTTTTTGAATATAATATATGACTATATATTATGTAACAAGTAATATTATAATTATAATTTTTTGTGTATATAATCAAATAAAATGTAAAAAATTCAAAATATAAGTTTTTATAAAAGAATTTAAAAAAAATAAAAGCCATTCATTAAATTTATATATTTTATGAAATTAGGCAATTTACAGTTAAGTATTTGTTATGATTTAGATATTCATTACAGACAAATTGAATAAATACACTTGCACGTAATTAATTATGTTAAATTATCGTTCAATGCAAATTGAGTTTATGATAGAAATTAGAACAGTTGAAATTGTTAACAGATAGTCAATTGACTTTTCACATAAAGTTGATAGATACAAACATAACTCTTCATTTGTTTTATCAGTTGAATTCAATATGTAAAAAGCTGTGACAACAACTGCTGCTGCTGTAGTAATTTTGTCAAACTCAATGTCTAGTAGTTCCAATCTAACAAGAGCAAAATAACATTTATTTTTTGTACTACAACATACAATTAAATGTTGTAATAGTTTATAATACTATTTTAAAGCTTAATATTTTTATTTACTTTTCACTGTAAGTATAGATTTTATAACCTGTCTTTTGATACTGTAGCTGATCATAGAGCTCGTGTTGATAAATATAAACAAAATCTGTCAGAAATAAGCATGTAGAATACAGACTATCCGTACTCCGTAGCAATGAATGGAATCACCTCAATGAAATATTCAACCAACATAAATATTGATGGTTCATTCAGCTAAACAATTTTATATTACTGATAAAAGTAGATTTTATTTCATTACAATATAATTTTTAATTTAACCTTGTAATTAACTATACGCAAGACTTCAGCTTCGGAATAACGAATAATTTTTTTTGTGTATATATGACCGGTTCGCTCTAGAATAACTTTGATATCTTTTAATTTAAGACTCTATACACAAATATGAACATTTTTATTAGGTAAGCTGTAAAAATCTACTATAGGTATTAACATTTTTACAAATTCACATTTATTTATTCAATAAGTTAAATGTATAATCCATTAATTAAAATTTTTAGTGAATATTTAAATTATAAATATATAGGTATGTTGTACATAAACTACCAATGACTGTTGAGCATCCTTGGACAGCAATTGCATGCAAGACATAACTCGTAGATAGGATTGTTTCTTACACTGCTTCAAAAATTTAAGCCACTTATTTGAATGATTACTATATATTTTCTTATATTTACAAATGAAGTATTCAGATAAAAATCTAAAATTTCAATTAATTAGTATAAATGTATAATATTTAAATGTTATCAACCCTTAACTACACGAGCTGGTGCACTATGTACATTTAACTTTTCATTTATCTTGTTCTATTTTACTTCATAATTGTTTTCAGTTATTCTCCTTTAATCTTTCCTTATCATATGTATAAAAGTTAGAAATCTATTTCAGCTAGTTGACTTTCGATGTTTGAAGTATCATAGACAAGTTCCATATTACATTATTTTTGTGTTGGTGAATGAAATACGCCGCATGTGTAATATCATTTACATCTTATATTAGACTATAATACTGATTATTTATCAATATTCAATATTCAATTATTAAACTAGCCAAAGCTTTTGCCATAAGAAGTTAATAATTTTGTAAGTAAATAAAGGAAATAATATAGGCAATACCATATTTATGTCTGTGTACAACAAATGGGTGTATAAAATACACTGCGCAAGTAATTATTGAAAAACAATTGGCGCGTGTAATTAAAGGTTTCAAATAAAATCATATTTTTGGTTTTTTAATATTACCTACCTATCATATAACTCAACGCATTTGTATTTAATAGTGTTATCCATACCACATTCATCCGCAAGTTTAAATATAAATTGGACGACTTTTGGTGAAAACGATCTGAATGGGTAAGTACCGTTAAAATAAAATGTTTTGAAATTTTGAATGCTTTTCTTGTACAATTTAAACCATTGATCCATGTACGTTTCTGAAAAATTGTATACCTACTTGTTAGTTGTTTTTAATTAGTTATTGAAAGTATCAAAAGTAAAATACTGCACTACTTTCATTGTATTCTCTATTGATTCTCATCTTGTTTATAAAGTAGTATTGAAACAAATCATACATCAAAATTCAATCTAGAGCTTTGCTGTGCTGGCTGTATTGTACACCTATTTATGTACGGTATATTTATATAAGTAGGTATATAATACGATTTAGGTACCTACTATAGTAGTGTAATTATATAGTGTAATAATATAATGTACATTTTTAAATCGCGACTCTTGATACTACTGAAAAATTAAGTTTTATTCATTTAAAAACAAATATTTATATAATATAATGCACATATTTTATCACAAGCAATCTTTTTCATAAGAGGCGATTTTCAAAAATCGTCTCCACTTTCTTTTATCAGTTTATTTCAGTCTTCTAAAAGGCAATGGAAGTTTCAAGTAGGTTTATCGTCTATAGGTAACCGCCACAGATATCTGTAAACTGTGGTAACCGCTCAGTTTTCTACTAATAAACATTATATCACAGAATAAGACAATATATTTATTAGTTATTAGTGTTTATAATCAATGGTAATACGTACCTATAAGCTCTAACGACGGTATAGGTCTTTCTTAGTAGTGTATAGTATTTCTTTTCTATGGGTGTACCTCGGTTTTAGTGTGCCTCAGATCACTGGAAAATAGACATCTGGGTGCCTCGCTCTGCAAAATAATTCGACTGAGATACAAATAATAGTCAATCTTGCATTAATATATGAATTGCGGTTATTGCACCAATATATTAATGTAAACAAATTTTACTAGGAAAAACATGTGTCGTAACTATAATATAAACTATAAAGTATAACTAGGTACCCTACATTTTTACTTAGTTGTCGTAACTCGACGACACATTGTTTGACTGAACTACAGAATATTGTTGTCAGGGCTGTATAAATTAGCTGCCCTATATTTTTTAAAGTTATTGTAACTAAAGACAATGAGCCATCCACTAATAGCTATACCCTGGCTGATTGGATATAGCACTTGATATATTTTCGAACGTGGTTCAAATTACTCTTTAAACTTTGTTGATGTCTTAATGACAATCCCTGAATTTTTCGTCAAAAATGCTCAAGTATAGATTATGACTTGATGAGCATGTAACGTCATTTATTTGTTTGGTGGCACTGTGGCAGGGTGGGTATTTGCCCTATCTGGTTTTAAAAGCAGCCCGATGGGTTTAGGGTTGGTGCCCTGTTGTTTTCGTTTACAACCATTGTTACATTTTCTGAGAACAAAAACATGCATATTTTTTATAATTAATTTACATTTAGATCTACTAAGAATTTATTGTCACACTGATAAATTGGTAATTATATTAATAAATGGTTGGAATGTATTTATATTTAGACGCATGCGGGGACGTGTGTGAAATTTTTTTATGTAGATATTATGTAGGTATGTTCTTAATAAAGGAAAAGGAAAAGGAACATAATATATTAATATACGTGCTTGTGAGTGGTTTTTTCTAAGTTACCCATTTAGCCCTTTGTTATTAAAAATTGAAAATACTCCACTGGTTTTGAGCCAAAAAACCTACGAAGTATGTACAAACCTACGGACATTGCTTTTTGATGTACATTAGAATAACTAACAATAAATTAAACATTATTTCATAAGAAAATATCCAAGTTAGTCTGTATAGTTTTTTTTTAAAACGTATTTCTTTTATCTATTTGACAACCTCTTATACATAAGCAAACAAAATATTCGATTTGACAAAGAAAATAAAATTTTTGATAGAAGTAGGAACAATAAATATAGCTGTATCCGTAGGTACATACTAAAGAGAAATGTTACTAACAACCTAATTTAATAATTATCTAAGTTAATACCTATAGAATTAAAATGGTTATATTATAACCCAATTTTATAAATAATATTTCTTGTATAAAAATATTACAGTTAAGCCTAAGGTACTTCAAGTTTTCAAAGTTACAACGGCACACACCAGCATAATATCACCAAAATAGATTTTTTCTAATATTATCATTCTGATTTCTTACTTAGGTTTTTATTTTGTTCATAAAAACGTTGGTGTGCCTGCCCGGTTGAAGATAAGTTATCTATTTGACATTATTATAATAATATAATACAATATTTCAATAATTTTATCAAATCGTTATAGTTAAAAAAATATATTATGTAAATTAGAATAAACAGGATTAAAATTTAAAAATTAAAACGTCTATTCAGCTCATTTATCTTTAATAATCGTCAGTGATTTAGTTTATTAGATGACGAATATTGTAATTTATGCGAAACTCATAAACACTACGATGACATTATAATACGTTTTAAAATATTGAATACACAGGCCGTCAGGCTACATACACAAATGACATCATAGGCCATAGCAAATGAAGATAAAGTATCTTCATTTTGCTGACTGGACTAACGAAATCATCATATGGCTTTTATTAACAATTTTGATTTTTGTTTCACCATGCGGACAGTATCTAAACTACCTATTAAGGTAAAATCGAAATAAAGTATTTAACACCTAGGTATATGAATATACATGTATATACTTAAAATATATTTACTTAATAGATCCAATAAATACTCGATTTATCATTTTTTGTTTTCCTCAGGGTATTTTCAAGATGTGGTAGTCAGTGAGAGTTGTAAACGATTAAAAATGGTAGACTCAAACACTAAGGATGAAGAAACCCTAGTCGAAGACTCTTCAATAATCACATCATTTTCAAAAATCAGTACTGCTCTTTTCTATGCTGCTGCGTCCATGTTGATCACTGTAGTAAATAAATCCGTACTAACCAGTTATGGGTTTCCGTCCTTCCAGTTTCTAGCCATTTGCCAAATGTTTATGACAATTTTTGTACTGTTTACAGCCAAAAGTCTTGGAAAACTAAAATTTCCAGACTTAAATAGGTACACATTTAAAGATACATTTCCAATGCCTCTGATATATTTAGGTAACATGGAGTTTGGCTTGGGCGGTACCAAAGAATTAAGCTTGCCTATGTTCACCATGTTAAGACGTTTCTCGATACTAATAACCATGTTAGGTGAATACTATTTGCTCAACATTAGGCCAAAGTTCTCTGTCAAGATATCGGTTGGCATGATGGTCTCTGGTGCTGTTATAGCAGCAAGTAACGACCTGGGATTCAATTTCAATGGATACATGTTTGTACTGTTTAATGATTTTCTGACTGCAGCAAATGGAGTTTTCACAAAGAAAAAATTAAACTCTAAAAAAGAAATGGGAAAATATGGACTTATGTATTACTCATCATTGTTCATGATACCACCCGCATTAATATTGTTATATTTTTCGGGCGATCTAGATAAAGTATACAGGTATAGAATTAAATATATTTGTTTGGTAAGAACAAAGATTAACACTTTGTTTTGTTTGTTTACAGATTCAGTTATTGGTTGCATACACCTTTTTTAATCCAAATTTTCATCTCATCCATAATGGGCTTTATTTTAAATTATAGCATAATGTTATGTACACAGTACAATTCAGCTCTAACGACAACAATAATTGGATGTCTTAAAAATATATTTGTCACCTATATGGGTATGTTTATTGGTGGTGACTATGTATACACATTGAATAATTTCATTGGTATCAATATCAGTGTTATTGGTAGTCTATTTTACACTTATGTCACATTCAGACCATCTGCACCATCCCAAATTAAGTTGCCAAAAACTATAAATATTTAAAAGTATGATTTTTACAATATTGTCTGATTTATATCAAATTAAATTTATGAATTATAATTTATAATACTAGTTACCCTTTAAATTATTGTATTTTATTTTTTACTGTGTATTTTACTTATATGAGAACAATATATTTGTTACCTTAATTATTGTTTGTAATAAATTGTAATATTTTATTGTATTATGTTTAAACAAGAACAAATGTGATTGGACTTACTATTTATATATATTATATTTGTTTACAGATAATAAAAATATTAAGATTTATAATTATTATCTAATAACTGAATAAAACTACAAATGACCTGGGTCCATAATTATTTTTGGATGTTTACACTCTTGCATGTCAAATAAAAACAGATTCAAATATCAATTCAATTATTTATATATTATAAAAAATATTCCAGATAATTAGCTTAACATTAAAATAAAATGAACACAACTAAAAGTTAGACCTGCATGAACTATTAAAAATAACAATGATCTCTATTTTATCTGTATACAGTAGAACACTGATCAACCGGACAAGCAAGAAGTATTTCAATAATTCATTATCATAGTATGAATATACGCGTACGGCGTATGTATCTATAACATTGATAATATATCTGATTTACTCCATACAGTTATTATCGGCTATCGCCACAGCATCAGTATTTATTGTGTAACGTTGGTTATCCAGATATTTGTGATTATGGACCATCCTCGACATTTATCAGTCTGGATAATCGGCGTTCTACTGTAAACTAAATTATTGCTGTTCAATAATGAAAGGCTAACGAGATAACCCAAATAATAAAAACAAAATTTGTTATAAGAGGAAAAAACAAGTGTACAATTATAATTAAAATATATAGGCAATTGATATACGATATTCAAAAGTTTTCTAAACCAAACATTCACAGAACTTAACAAATCTTATAATAATTTATCTACTAAATTAATCAAACAATATGATTATAAATTAAATTTTATATACTACATATTATGTCTAATATAAAAAGCTAAAACTGAAAGTAGTTATAAACACTGAGAATATTAAGAAATCAATATATAATTCATACAAAAATCATTATTAACACACTAGTTTTTAGAGGTTCTATAATTTCATAGATTTGAACTACGAGTATACAAACTATAATAATTTACTGCTTCATACCGGTTGTACAGAAAGCATAAATTAGTATAGTAAGTATGCATTATTGAGAATAAAGAAATATTGTGGATGTATTTGAAGATAAAAACCACTTCTAACATAAAAACATATAGGCACCAATACAAATTCAAATAATCGGGAAAGTATGAATTTGATTTGCATTGACAATCAAAATTACTATAATTAAGTTAAAATAATAATAAAAATAGTATAAAGTACATATTTTTTCAGTTAATTGTGTAGAAATTAATTTAAACAAACATTAATAAACAGTCAAAAATTGTAAAATCTTAAGGAAAAATAATCATTCACTTTCACTTATAAAATATTAAGAAAGAGAGTTTATACACAGAAAAAATATTGGAAAAATCAGGGATAAGACTGAAAATTATAGTTTTTTTAAACATAAAACGTACGTGAAACCACAAATAAAATTGAGTACCCTAATGACATGGTTATAATAAGTCTTAGTGCCATTAGTTTGTACATACATATCAAACAGATTTTAACATTTGGAAATGTTAAAATCAACCATATAAAAATATATACTGTATAAAGTATAATTGAGTATGATGAGTGCATGCAGTCTTTTATTGAGAAGTTGCTGGGGGTTGAAGTTCTGGATTTTCAGTACGCATGGCATCCAATTTAGCAAATATTTTTAAGGCTGGTCCAAGTTTCATAGACATGTCCCTTATTAAATGATCTTCTTTGAGCAACATCAAAGCTTGACCATCAATTTCATGACTTTCAAAATCTGCCGCTATTTCTTCACTATCCGTAAGTTGACCAATAAATTTCCGTACATCTTTTACCTAAAACATTATCATAAAAGTATAGTAAATAAAAAGGAAAAATAAAACCAAAAATAAAAATGACTTACAGTCCATGTCAATGGATTAATAGGACACAATTCGGGAGCCACATCTGCCTTAGTGTCAACATCAATTTGCATACGATTTGGCAAATCAAGTGATGAGCCAGTATTGCTAGAATCACCAGCTGAACCATTGCTTTCACATTCCTAGTTTATATTATTATTATATTTATTAATATTTAAAAAAAAAATACAACAATATCACATTGCATACCCAATTTTTCCCATTCTTTTTGTCTGTTTGTCCAGTTTTTGAATTATTTTCAAATATTTTTGAGCATTCTTGTGAACAAAAGCGTTTTGATTTCTTTTTAATTTTGAATTTTTGTAATTCTTGACATTTTCCACAAGAGTCACATTTGATTTTGTCTTGATTGTTATTATCTGTTTTACTTTTTTTATCTGTAAAAATAAGAATATGTAAACTAGAAAAAAAAAAAATATTAAAAATCTTACTTGGCGGTTCTTCGTCCAATTTTATGCTTTCCTTGTCCTGTGCACTATTGGAAATATCTGCTATAGTGCAGGATCGATTTACTGGGAATGGTTGATCAGCTTCTTGTATGACAAAGCCTTCAATAACATGGGTCAAGACTTGTGGTTTTACTAAAGCTTTGGGCAATCCTTTATCTCTAGAGTTGTCTTCGTTAGAATTAACTGGTAACGAAACTGATGCAGTTGTTTCAGTAGTATTCTCTGCTATTGAAACCACAACAGCTGATGTTTCAAGATTTTGGGTAGCAGGGGACGTTTTAAGAGATTCTTCTGGTTTGATTGCTGGAAGCATCGATGAAACTGATGTGTGAATTTGGGGTGAAATTAGAAGCTGAGATTGTGTTGATGCCTGAGGGGCACATGAAACAACTGGTATAACAGGGCGATCAAGGATAGTGATTTGTTGTTGAGGCTGGCTACTAACAATAGCTTGGCCTTGCTGCAGCTGATGTATATGTATCTTTTGAGGAGAATTCATGGACATGCTCATTACGTTTGAGGTGGGTTTGATGATTTGCTGTTGCTGATATGTAACTTGAGGTGATTGCATACTTACAATTTGATGATTTGGGGATTGCATACTTACTAGTTTAATTTGTTGTTGAGCTTGTTGTTGCTGTTGTAAATGCTGTACTTGTACAGTTTGCTGCTGTTGTTGTTGTTGTTGAATTTGCGGCACAAGTTGTCCAGAACTTGTCAAAATCATTCTAAAACATAAAATTATTTACAATTTGTTTATTGATATAGCAGTTTTATAATTACTTGTTGGTGTTCATAGTTTGTTGAGGTGACTGAAGAGGTTTGGTTTGATTTGTTTGATTAGCAGCATCTGATTTATGAGGCGCGATACTAAAACCTTGACGGACACCAGTCTTAGGTCTAACTTTAAGTTGAGCTTTTTGCATCTGGTTTAAATGCTGTATACCCGTAGTGGTTTGAGTAGAAATTGTAGCATTTGGGCGGATAGTATGACCTGATGGTAGTATAGAAAGTTGTCTGTTACTACCCATACCATTAGGTGTTGAATTAACTTTGGGTTGTATATCTGCTCGTTGTGATTTAATGGTAGTAGTTGTGGTACCACTAACCATTTGTCCAATATTTTGCATAACACCACCGCTTGTTTGCACCATAGTTTGGCCATGGTGTTGTTGAAGGTGCTGAGGCGGAGGACTTTGTATAAACATAGGAGTTTGCACTTGTTGTTGTTGACCATCTTGCTGTGGTGCACCTAGACAATAAAATCAAAGGTTGTAGTTGAATAAACATTTTAAGTTTTTAAGAACTATGAGTGTTGAAAAGAAATTTTCTTTATAACAGGCTCAATGGAACATTAAGAAATAAACAGATAAACATAGAGTTATAATTTATCAAAACTGAGATTTTACATGTTATATCAGCTGTGATCCAGTGCGTTATCACAAGTTACAATACTGAATAAAAGATTTTTTTTGGAATGTCCAGACAATTTAGTATTTACTAAATAAACTATAAATTAAATGATTTCACAAGAAACTGAAAAATACTTTGTTTTGTGGATTTTTAAAAATTCATGTAATATTTCTTCTCTTCATGATTTTAAATTGTATACAATTGGATTAATTTTAATTATGCTTCGCGTAAATAATTTGTTTTAAAAATTTTCTCATTAAAGTTCTTGGTAAACTGTTGAGATCATTTATTTGTTATTATAACATAATACATTTAATTAAATCTGTGTTACAAAAACAATTAATTATAAGGAAAAAATAAGGTTCTAAGCCTAGTTTCCTCACTATAATTTTAACAAGGCAATTATCATGTATTGATAACTCACCTCTTATGAAAATTGGATGATTCTGTGTTAATAGTGCTTGAGGTTGTGGTGTAGCCCAAGTGAGTCCTTGAGGAAGTGATGCATTAAATTGCCAAGGTGAAAATTGCATCGTTTGAGCGTTTTGTTGTACAGTTCTTCCAGTGGCACAGCTTGTGTACTAAAATAAACATTTTCCAAATAAAACAGAACATATTAAAAAAGTCAATAGTACGTACTGTTTGTTGCATTTCATTTTGTTTCATATTTGGCTGACTACTTATCACCCCTAACTGGCCGATGACAAGAGTCTGGTTAGTAGTGGTTGGTATAGCAGCATATCCAGTCGGAAACGACGTTGCCTGTCCTTGTGATATTACCTGTTTATGTGCATGTGCTGTGGTGAGCATCTGTTGTGACTGGAATTGTTTATTAGGAGCTGCAATCACTTGTATAGCACCAGAAGTAGGGTGTTGCAACATTGTTCCAGGCATGATTAATTGGCCTTGAGCATTGTACTGTACAAACTGAGGGCCAGCTTGTTGAATTAACTGAACACGTCCATGACTCCAGTCATTGATCTGTTGAATTTGGGTCTGCTGCTGTTGCTGTTGAGTAGGTGTCTGTGCCTGCATAGTATGTTGTTGTTGGACTTGCCCTGACTGTTGAGCTTGTATATTAGTCATTTGCACTTGACCCTGTTGCTGTTGCTGTGGTTGGATAGAAGAAATTTGCATTTGACCAGATGTCTAAAAAATATACATATTTTTTTATAAAATTCTAAAATATAGATGGTGGTCAAATTAAATACCTCAATAGTTGTCATTGGAGCAGATGAATGAGGAAGTTGCACAGTGCCTCCATTAGATCCATCAGACGACATCTGCATAGTTATAGTTTGCTGACCTGAGGCGACAGCAACTTGTTGAGGTTGTTGCTGTGACTGTTGTTGCTGCATGTCAACCTGTCCCTGAGGCTGTTGAATCATAACTTGTATTTGCTGTGGCTGTTGCATTTGTTGTGCTTGTTGGTTTTGTTGGGACTGCTGCTGCTGATTTTGTTGTTGTTGTTGTTGCTGTTGTTGTTGCTGTTGTTGTTGCTGTTGTTGTTGCTGTTGTTGTTGCTGTTGCTGCTGCTGTGCTTGTTGCATTTGTTGTACGTCTGTGGCAGGCTGTTGTTGTGCCGATGCCTCACTCATTTTTGAGCTTGTTCATGTAAGCTTACTAAAAAAAAATAATTGGGAATGTATAATTATGTATGATGAATGTATAATATTGGTAAGTAGGTTATATAATTTTATTTAAAGTATATTATATACTAATGATAAATACTGTCGAAAACAATTAATTTTAATGGAGAAAACTGTTATGATTTGATTATTATTAGTTGTTTCAACATGATTGGTCACCTATTAACTTTGTTTTATAATATAAGTTAATGTTTTTTTAGTTTTTTCAAGTACTTATATTAACATCTATTTACAGATCTATTTATGATTTATATGTACAATAAGCCATTGTTAATATCATATATATAATTATTATTAGTTAAGTACTATACTTTAATAGCTACGAGTCTAAGTAATAAAAATTAATTACAAAAACCAATATTAAAATTTAAAAAACCAGTAAACCAAAATGCAAAAATGTATAGAAATAATAATCTTTTATGTTGTAACCTATTTCAAATAAACAAAAAAATGTCCACATTTATTGTTGCTTGTTGCAGTTTGTACTTTGATATTATCATAACGAGAAAATGTATTTTATTTATTCCCATAATATTTATTTCTATACCCTAGACACATTCATGAAACGTATTATAAAATATTGTTAAAGCTTTTGTTGGTTGGCTTATTCTAATAAAAATTGTTAGTTATATCCATGTTTCTTTCAAATAATTTTTATCAAAACTAACCAAATATATTATTTCGTTGAACAAATATTTTACACACAAGGGTTAAAGCCATACTCAAACACAGTAGTTTAAAATTGTAATTATGGACAAATAAAGAAAAAGACCAAGCAATTTTAATCAAATACCTTTGCTAGCACAAGTGGAAACCTATACTACGATGGTTGAGGTAGTAGAGCAATCCTTCATTATCATATACCAGAACGGCGACTGGACAGCTCATTAGCTCAGTACTCACTAGCCACTACTACTTCCGTACCTACATCCTATACACGGAATATATCACAAAAATCTGCCATACAACATATACATACTACTTACATACCTAGGTTTTGACACCTAGTCAAATGTAATTATTCTTATTCAACAATTTCAACATATCATTTTCAATGAATATAATATTAATTACATATCCTGATACACCATGTACATATGTATATACCTATTGTTGCAACATGTCCGATGTACCCAATAAATAATAATGTATCATATTTAAATGGAAGCCTCAAACGGACACACATACACACGCGATGGCGCGTGCGCGTCTACAATTGCGATATACATTACCACATTATTAGAAATTCAGAACACACGCTGTCGAAAAACTAATTCTTTCGAAGAGCCAGGCTATTGCGATGAGGGCCCGTGTATGATTAAACAGCAGAGTAAATAAGCAAATATACTGCAAGCGTAAGGAATGTAATGTGATCGCGGTCATAGGGACAGTTGCATACCTACGTTCGGTAATGCTAAAGTAATAATAGTCATAATAATAAAACGCAGTAAGGGCACTCACCTCCAGTTTAGCTGGCGGCCGAGAAAATTGGGTCCACAAGACTCAGCGACTCTCCGACGATGTGAAAACGCGATTCGCTTGATCGAGAAACGACGGTCCGTTGATAAAATTCGTTGAGACCCGACGACGGCCGTATGATTGATGATAATAAAATGTTTTTTATTTCATCAGTTGTAGCGCGTATCGGAACTTGGAAGTAGCGTAATGTTACTATAGGCTATAGCTGTGTCGCACACGCGCACGCACAATCCCCCACCGCTGTGGCGTCGGCAGCAATGAGAGTGCGTCTAAGCGGCGGCGTCGGCGAAAGACTGTCGCGCAGCGATGAGGAACGGACGCCTGGACGCGCAACGGTCGCGGGCGACTCGAAACGGGCTGGCGACGAATGGCGGGTGGTGGGTGCCGGGTGGCCGCCGCTGCCGGAGCTTGTTCGGGCGCGGTGGCGCATGCGTGCCACTTCTCCCCCTGACCGATCAGCCGCCCGCAACGACCAATGAGGTACCGCCCAGGCGGCGGCGCACCAATAAAGGACCACTGGCGCGCCGTATACACTCGGGATTCCTGGGAGTAATTATTGTAATAATGCCGCCGTCGACCCGACCCCGGAGGGGCTGTGCGGCGGCACTCGATAACAAAATATTACGCATCTATATATGTTTTATGTGTTGGTATATACGTAGGGGGCGACGGGACAAAAGATTTATAATATACGAATTGTGCTTTTTCTCTCACTCACTCGGTCTCCTCACCCTCTCTCTTTTTTCTCCGTCTGTCATTCGCCGCTCCCTCATACGATCTCCCTCGAATTCTTTTGTATTAAACTCGATAATGTAGGTACCTATAAGCGTTTTGCAGTGATATTTTGCATTTATGTAACCTATGCATACGACATTTTTGTTTCTCCGACAATTATTGATATTCTGAATGACACAATAATCGCTCCTGTAATATTTATATAATACTTATATTATACTTGATATTATATGATGTACCTACGATCTATTTAGCGCGAAGATTAAAAATACTACATTTTGGGTATATCGTATATATTATATAAATTATATTCGGAGACCGCCCATATGCCCTAATAAACGTAAGTAAGAATCGGATGAATATATGGCCTTGCAGAAAAAAACAAGGTTTCATAAGACCTATATTTGATGATCACAAAAGACATCCCTATATCTATATAATATGACCTTACATATCATTTAATAAACCTATATTTATTACTTTGGATGGCTCAGTATATACAAGTGTGCATAATATATTGATCCCGCATTCCCGCAGATCATCACGAACTGCAGACACGAACTTCACAGCTGCACGGTTGGTGGGTATCGTCTATATCTCGAGTGTTCCTTAAATGTACTCATATATATAAATATGCACTTAAAAAACCCGTTTAGGATGACATTTTATTTGTTGAACTCTTCGAGCCTATTTATATTTTATTGAAAGTTATGAGGACCTCCTATACGGACCTCTATATTTATATATACATACATAATACATATTATATAGATTATAGAAGATACCTATATGTATTACATTGTATATAATATATCTATATACATCTATGTGAAATATACGCGTGGCTGTGTATACCTACAACAGCCACTGCAGGCCGGTATGTACGTATGTGAATAGGCGTAGGTATATAGCCTAAGAGTACTAAAATTAAATTATCTAACGCCTCTGAGGCGTCTTGGCGACGAGGACGTGTGTTCCACCAAGCGCCCTGTATACACGCACGTCTGACGGTCGGTGTATATGTTTACGTGCGCAATAACGGGAGAAATACGGTTCGCAGCAGTGTGCATACTGCGTCGTATAGACCGCGGGACTCATCCAATGCACGCACGGGAGGTGGAAAAAGTTTTTAGGAACCCACCCACCGAGCACCAAACCAACCGACACGCACACAATGTCATTCATTGTGTTTTTGCATTTTATATATACGTATAAATTATAGGTATATTATATAATATAAATATTCTGTATAATATATAGTACACATTATATACATCACGCGTATACCTACATGATATATTAAATATAATATTATATAGGTATAAGTTATAGGTTTGTGGTATATACTGATTGAAACAGAATCGTATAACGTGTTGTAGGTTACATCAGGTGACAAATGTCGTATATATAACCTACCTACTCAATTATATTTTTTTGTGGGCACAATATATATATATAGGTGCGCATACATAAATAGGTATCTGCAGGTATAGGTATATATATAGCCATACCTATAGACTACACTGCTACAGGTATGCGTAGATCGTATGTACAACTTAACCTATACATACCTATAATAATATACCTAACAAATATAATACTCATTACTCATGTATATATTTGTGTATAAATAAATAATAAACATTAAACACACTGTTGAAGAATGCCCAAGGCGATCTTTCAACGGGTGTAGACTGTTCGGGCATAACTGATACAAAATGTTAGCGGTGTGAATACACATTGGACTGCAAGTGTTTATTATCAATAGGCTTATTAGGTATATTTAATTTATTTATTGAAAAAAATTAAGTCACATATACAAAATACATAGAAGGCATAGTTATTAATAATGAATCTTATATTTTTAAACGGCGGTCGTCATAATCTCACACTTTCAAAAAAAAGTCATCATTCAAATCCACACATGTTATATATAGGTACATAGTTTTTCCAAAATCAAACAGTTCAATGTTGCATATAAACACTATGCAGTAGGTAGTACACTATATACACACTGATATAAATATGTAAATATAATATACTCACACGTTATTATCTATAAAATTGCATTATCGTTTAGAGCCGCACACCAATTATTATAGTTAATCATATTTAATCAAAATGAAATAAAAGCAAACTTAACCATATCAAAACAAAGAAATTAATACAGATTTATAAGAAATTCAATGTGCCGTTGAACATAAATCACAATTACATATTTTATACTATTTTAATTTATATATGATCATTTCATTAGTAAATACCAAGAAATAAATTTTAAAAGAATATTATTTAAAAACACTATAGAATAATGTATATTTACTCCAGTTTATAAGTATAATACCTCTTGGTTAGAAACTACTATATATTATATATATACAACTATTCATCATTTATTTTATCTTATTACCTATATTTTGAATTATTTTAAGTACAATTATTTTAAACCAATATTAAAATTATTATAAAATCTCATACCGCAATAGTATTTAACTATTTTAACGACTTTTTTTTATAACAATAATGAATAAAATATGTTTAATTTCTAACTGCGTTCAATGAAATGTGTGTGGTTTTAAATTATCGGTCTGCTTCTATATTTTCCTTGTTATAGCAATAGAAAAAAATCTGTGAGTATAATAATTATATCAATTATTGAACGACGCCCATTTTTGAAAACGTTTGCATCAAAGTCACCAGGTTTTTACCCGAAAATAAAATTTCACTCGACAGGCTATTTGTGTTAGTTTTTTGGTCAAAATTATTACCTCCCCCCAAACTATACTACCGCTTACCTATACCACTATTTTACAAAGGGATTTTTTTATTATTGCGATATATAGCTATATAATTTGACAAATATATTATAATTATCTTATATGCATATAATAAATTTATATAAGTACTTATATCTAGCTATTATATGTACATACCTATATAGATGCTAAGATTAATAATTTATAAGAAGTCAAGCTTTATCTAATGTTGCAGCACACACAATATATCAAGCATCTATGTATATATAAGTTATAGAATCTTGTAACATAAAATGATTATTACAACGTATTCCTATATTTAAGCGTTTATTGGTATATTTAATATTGGTTAAGTTAATCATATATATTTATATATATATATATCGTTATTCGTGACCGTGATGATAATTGCAGTTTTATTTTGATATTCAATTATGTTCGAGTTGTCGCCATTACAGAGTAATAATAGGAATTGCCAATAGAGATCACCAATTGTATCAAGTTATACCTATGTTAAATCTAAAACTTAAAATAGTTGTTAATACTTATAGCAGTGGCAGTGGCTGATAGATACCCATAGGATTTTTTTCTTGGGGATGATACGACCAAAACTATTTTGCACTTTTGGAGCCAGGGGGGTAGATAGCCATTATAGGATATTTGTTCCCCTGGCTTTTACTCTTGTTATTTTATACCTTTCCGTGAAGTGATGCACTTTATAGGCGATGATTTTATACTTTATAACTATATATACCCACCAATATTTATAATATTATATAAATAATATTAATTTAATAAATAAAAAAAGCTATGGGGTTGATTTACTATAATATACCACCAAGATGGCCAGATAACCGCCCCCCCCCTCTCCCTGAAAATATGCCGCACCTATACTTAGGTCAATTAATAAAAATGTAGGTACATGCAACTTATTATGTTTTATAGCTATATCTATACAGGTTATTACTGACGACTAGCTTTTTACACATATCATATACTATAAATAATGCTATAGGAATATTATGATTATAAACAACCATTAACCTCAGGAAGGGATGATATTCTAATAACATTAATGAGACGCCAAAGCGGCAAATGGAAAAATAAGTAACATTAGAGACATTATTCAATTCTTACTATTTCTGAGAACTCGACAAAAAAATATTATAGGATTGAGACGCAATTTTTGAAGTATAATTATATGAGTAAAAATGATACATATTAGTAATCAAACTAATATGGAAAGACGCACAAACGATTACAAGGCATAATACAATTAATTAATGTTGTAAAAACCATATATCTATTTCTGCAAAGTAAATTAACTGCTTATCGAATATGCTTAATGCTTAAGCGAATATATCATGCCATTATAACACAGTTGGGTATCATAATTCGTATAATATTATAATAATATATATCATTAATTATTATACAAATTAGTATTATGATATTATTATTAGAAACTATACTCAATATATATATACAGTATATATACTTTATCGATAACGCAGCTAAATACACCGGATATACAAACTCTCACACAATTTTATATAGGTATATATTATACGAGCGTGGGTCGATGGCATATCCTGGGGCCTTCGCGCGTGAGCATGCACCACAGTATAGTAGTGCGAACAACACTCTTATTAAAAGATAGGCGAAGTAGAGGGTACGCCTTTATAGGTTATGGACAGGCGTGAATTGACAGTCAGGACGAGCACCTTCGTGCACACCAGTAGACTTCTTGAAATATTAAATCGAACTTCGAATAATTTGACCATCGATATTTTGAACTTATTAAATAATGAGTGAAA